GCAGGATGAGGGGGAAAGGCGCGTGTGGCTGAGGAGAAAAACGGTCGGTCACTCTCCTGCCCCAGCCCTGTCTGAGCCCGTCTGCTCCTGTCTGCATTGGCGCAAATACCATCCCTCTGCCTCCCCCTCCTCCCGGCTGGACCCGCCGTCTTCAGGTCTTACGGAGGGAGTGACCCAGCCCAGCCCGTAGGTTTGGGGTTGCTCTGAGAGAAGGGCTAAACCCCCTCCTACCCCATTCCTTCCCGCAGACCCACAGTGTCTACCGGGTGGTGTCTCCTGCTCACACTTTGATAAGTCAGAAGCAGTTTCTGTACTTGCCAAGAATTTATTAGAGCTTCTTGCATTTCACTTTGTCCGGAAATAATTTCAACATACGGAAAAATGCACAGAAAAACAAAAACACCATTTGGGTAGCCACTACCCGTTTCTCCCAAAGAATAGCGTGGGGAGTGTTCTTACCGCTTTAGTCTTTCTTCTTTCTTTAAAAGAAGTCAAGCATTCCAATACATCTGACTCCCATTCTTGTCGCTCTTCCAAGGCCCCCCGAAGTACTGAATTTGGTTGTTATTGTTGCTTCATTTTTAATGTTAATACTACATATTCTTGTGTTCATACCCATTGTACTTGTTTTAAACTGTTTATAGGTATTATCACAATTACTACTCCGCAGCCTGATTCTTTAGAACATGTTCTCTCTGACCTTTCTCGGTTATTATTTTCATTTCTAATTAAATGTTATTAACTCATGTATTCCATGTATAAACACACCCCAATGCAGTCCTTTTAGTGACTACTTTAGGTTATTTATATTTTCTTTACAGACTGTCAATGAACATTCTATTCACATATCTAATTTACCCGCAGTAAAATTTTTGTAAGGTTTTTACTTGTAAATGAAATTGATAGGTTGAAGGGTATGTGGGGGTATTTATTTACTTTCCTATTCTCCCACAAGGGAACTTTAGAGCCCAGTAGAGTTCTAGATAGCCAACTTTTTGAGGATTCAAGTAAAGTGCAACAAGGAATTGTCAGAGCTGAAGTAGTTATGGAGGGGAGGATGGAGAGGTGGGGAGACCTTGAGACTTGCTTCTCAGAGTTGTTGGATTATGTGAAAATCTATCTGCATAATGTATTTATCATACACAAACATACCCAAATACCTTACCTCTCTTAGATATGAAAAAAACAAATCTTTAAGGAGATATGCAACTTGGAATAATTAATTGATGTTTTGTTTAGTCTACAGCAATATGAAAATGGGGAGAAATTAAAGTTGGTTTTGATACGCCCTTATTATTCATTAAGTCATTTCAAAGGTATATAGGCTGTTTGTTGAGATGAGGTTTCAAGCAGCCCAGACTGGCCATAAACTTGCTTCTGCTTTTGTCGATGAGCTGCTGGGATTAGGCAGTTCCTACTGGCTACAGTCTGTTAAAAGTCACTTATATCCTTTAAAATGTTGCTATTTACCTGGGCAGTGGTGGCCAGGCCTTTAATCCCAGCACTTGGGAGGCAGAGGCAGGTGGATCTCTATGAGTTTGAGGCCAGCCTGGTCTACAGATTGAGTGCCAGGAGAAGCTCCAAAGCTACGCAGAGAAACCCTGTCTCAAAACCCAAAGGGGGGGGGGTTGCTATTTAGTGTAATGAATTCAATAGTTATTCAGTGTGTGAAAAGGTATGAACTCCAACCTAAAATGAAGAGAATATTAAATATAGTCGTAAAATATTGGAACTGTAAATTCTGATTCAAGGCAAAGGTGTTAATGTAATTTCCCAAGGACTAGCCTAGTTGTGAGGTTTTTTTTTTTTTTTTTTTGGTTTTTTTTTTTTTTTTAGGTTCCAGTCCTAAGGATCTTATGATGGAATGTTTTACTTGTTGAAAAATTGTTGTTTTTACTGAGTGTCTTTCAAGTGTCTTTCTAGATTCTATAATCTAGACAGTACTTGACTCAGTCTGTGGAGTGTAGTGAGGTAGCCCTGGCACTGGCCCTATTCAGGCTCTTTGCATTTGAGCTGAGTGGTGTTGATATAGTTTTCTTGATACACACATACTGCTTTGGGCTTGAAAAGACAACCATGAAAGCTGGAGACGATGTGAAAAGCCCTTCATGAAGATCAAATACCCACCTGACCCCACCCCCCACCCCTTTTAAGTGATACCATTGGTAATGTTCAACAAACTGTTAAGGTAGCTTAAATAACCTGAGTGGATTGAGAGGTTCAGTGTATTGGTGTGAAACAATACTTAACATTTTTCCTCTTTTTCTTTTTTCTTGAACAGAAACACTATGCTGGACAGCCAGCATCAACAAAGGCATTATGGAATTACCTCTCCAATTAGTCTGGCATGTCCCAAAGAAATTGATCATATTTATACACAGAAATTAATTGATGCCATGAAACCATTTGGAGTATTTGAAGATGAGGAAGAACTGAACCATAGGTAAGTCATTGAAGCTATAAAGTATTTTTACAGTATACTGTTTAATCATTAACTCATACATGTTGAGTGCTTAATGATCCCTGCCTAAGTGTATAAAATTTCCAACAAAAGAAAAGCCTTGGCTGTCTTGGAACTTTTATTTTTCATAGGGATTAGGAAAGGAGACTACTAACAACTAGTCAAATAAGCAATTAAGAGTGTTACACATGATAAGTACTGGTTGGAAAAATAAAGTTGGGTGTAGAAGTCTTTAGAGAAACCTCAATGAAAGAGACACTTAAGGAAAATTTAAAGTTGAGGAAGGGGGCCATGGGGATATTTGAAGAAAGTGTGTTCTGGCAGAAAGCCTATGGTGAGTGTGTGTGTGGTCAGTATATTTGAGGACTATATAGCAAAAGATCTTTCAAGGTGTCTAAAGCAGAACGAGTAAATGGGAGAAACTTAAGACAAAGAAATAGCAGTAGGAAGGAGCCTAGAGGGTGAGGGCACTTTGTAAGCCACTATAAAATTTTTGGAAATTGAAACCTCTTAGGGTTTTGAATAGAAGATTAGCATGATCTGACTCATGTTTTAACAGTTACTCCAGCCATTGTGTTAGGAATAATCTCTAAAGGGTGGCAGGGATCAGGGGACAAAAGCAGAAGCAGAGAGATTGGTTAAAAGGTCATTATAATAACCCAGGTTAGAAATAAGACCTGAGGGGCTGGAGAGATGGCTCAGAGGTTAAGAGCACTGGCTGTTCTTCCAGAGGTCCTGAGTTCAATTCCCAGCAACCACACAGTGGCTCACAACCATCTGTTATGAGATCTGGTGGCCTGTTCTGGTGTGCAGATACACATGGAAGCAGAATGTTGTATGCATAATAAATAAAATCTTAAAAAAAAAAAGAAATAAGACTTGAAACGTGAGGGTGACAGTAGAAATAAGTAGTATAATTTAGATGTACTACAGGTGGGTTATTTCATGACATAAAGACAGTTTCCAAAGATGAGTCCAAGATTTTCAGTCCCTGCATCTTACTGGATTAAGTCCATTTGGGTGGGGGAGACTGAGAAGGAAGCAAATTTGTAAGGATCAGGAGATAGTTTTCCATGTGTTTATAGGATGCCTACATTTGTTTTTAAAAATGTGGACGTTTATGCCATTGGTTTAAAATTTAATAGTACCAAACTGCATTAGTTAAGTATTATTTCACAAATATTATCCACTAATTAACTTACCTATTTTAATTACACAAAAACCATGAGTACCAGTGAGAGAGAATATAGTCTCTAGTACCACACTTCACTGATGTAATTCTATAGTAAGGCAGGGGCGACAGTTCAGTTTGCTTCATTGAAGGTAACTTAGTGATTTATATTAGGTTTTTTAATTTTTTGAAGACAACTCAAAATATCAAAATATTATCATCCCACGTATCATATCTGGACTCTTAGATCTCTCAGATGTTTTATGTATCAACAGATGTGATAGCATTAGCACATTTATAATATGGATGTAATGTAGCATTGTTACAAAGTTTCTACCTTGTGTTTATTTCTTTAATATTAACATTTTTTGTTTTTGTCTTACAGTATAACTCTAACAGCGCTCATCTTTTCTTATAGGCTGGTTGTTCTTGGTAAATTGAACAATTTAGTAAAAGAATGGATTTCCGACATCAGTGAAAGTAAGGTAAGATTAAAACTGGATAGAATTCATTTTTCATTCTAACAATGATATATAAGAGTCAAACTATCTGAAGTACTTTAAAGTAGACTCTATATTTGTGTTGAGTAGTAATTTTATTCAGTATATGGATGTCTACTTTTGTGTCTTCAGAAGGATGCTTTTTTGTTTTGTTTGCAAAAGGCAGTTTTCTTTTTCTCTGCTGTGACTGTCCTTTTGCAGAATAGTAATAGTATGTGCCAGTTTGTGAGCAAATAAAACACAGGTTCAATCCATTAGTTTTGACTTTTATATCTTACAACTATAACAAAATAAGTATTTCATTTTAAATGAATACTGTAATTTTGTAGCTCTCCATTTTGATTTACAGTAAGTTAGCCACTAGCTTCCATATTGAACAACAACAAAAACCAGGCTGTCTAACATATTAGGGAATAAAGTGCTCTAGACAATTGAATTTCTAAATAAGGCTTTCCCCCAGAGATCGCCAATGATAGCTGCAAGTCTATAAAAATGTCTAGTTTGACTCCCATGTACTAGGCTAGACTTTTCAGGTTGAGGAGATTTTACTTAAAAAAAAAAACAAAAAACCAAAAAACACAGACTTTACACTTCAACTAGGTGGTAAAAGTCTTTATTAGTCAGTCGGCTTCTTATCACTATACCTAATTCCTGAGATAGACTATTTAGGAAGAAAAGGTTAAGCTAGCTACAGTTTTGGAGGATCAGATCCAAGTTAAGACAACCCTAAAGTTTTGAGCTAGTGGTGGTGGTGGGAGGCAGGGGACAGCAAGCAGCTGACAGTAACAGGAGTGGAGTGAATGTCAGAGAAAATGTTGCAAGTCCAACTAAGAAGCAATCAGTGGCATCCTACATAATCCCCTTTGAAGGCACACTTCCTATGACCTAAGAACCTCCTACCTCCCTGTCAGTCCAGCCTCCTTAAGATCCTTACTGCCTTCCAATACTCCCAGGAACACTGCTCAAATTAAACCAATCCACTGGCCTTATGGCCCTAACTCTTGCAATTTAAGTGTTTTTGTTTGTTCATATAGTATTCTCTTCCCTAACAGTACTCAGTTTAATGTATATCTACTTACAAAGTCTTTTTCTGCCCTATAGTCTACATGGATTTAGAAACTTTCTATTAGCATTCTTGTTTATTTTATACATCTGATAAATCTGTAGGATTGATTCTTTTAACTTAGAATAAGGTAATGAACTTCTAAAGACTTAAGACTTTAGTCATTAAATTTAGTCTAATCTTTGTTATTTACTTTTGTTGCCAAAAGACTGGCTCATTTCTGATGTCTCAAGGAAGGTCATAACAGTAGCTAAGAATGTTGGGTAAGTTAGATTCTGGAGGTGATATGCTGGTCATGAATAATCAAAAAGTCAACTTTAACATCTATCTAGTAGATTAAAGTAACTAGTCATTGTATCAGTAATATATTTTCATTTATGCATATCCTAATTTGGGAAATAAATAACTGAAGGGTTTGAGCTAAGTCAAAGATCACTTGAATATTGTTGAGATACTTTACAGCACAGATAAAATAATTTTAGTTAAGTTCTGTGGCTGTATAAAAATATATTGTCCTGTAATTCAGCATACCACTTTCTCATAAAAATGCAAGGATCATCCTTTTTTCTTTCTTTTTTTTTGAGACAGTGTCTCACTATGTCTCCCTGACTATTATGGAACTCTCTATTGTAGACAAGGCTGGCCATAAACTCACAGAGATGTGCCTGCCTCTTCCTTGAAGTGCTGGGATTAAAGGTGTTTACCACCACACCAGCAAGGATTATCCTTTTTTTAACATAGAAAAGTAAAATGATTTTTTTATATGTTCTGGCTTACTTATCGTTTTTATTAATGTAAGTCATTAATAAATTTATTGACTCCTTTCTAGCTAGTTGTGAGACTCTTGAAACATTAAGATGCATTAAACAGAGAAAATAGTTGTCTGTTGTATAGATAATTTTATTCAGGTTAGTCACCTGAAATCTGGAACTATAGATGGCTAGCAAACAGTACAGACCCATTTCTCACCTCTGATAAATTTAATTATAGTTGAATGAGGTGAGAATTGCTTACTAAAAAGATGTCTCTGGAAAGAGAACTCGGCTGACAGAGTATTTGCCACACTAGCAAGAAAACCTGAGTTCAGAACCCTGTGACCTGATTTTTTAAAAAATGGGTGTGGCACCATACTCCTGTAACCTCAGTGCTTACTAAAAATTATCAAGTCAAGCTGGATGTGGTGGTGCAGGCCAATAATCTCAGCACTTAGTAGATGGAGACTGGAAGAATAGAAGTTCATTTGAAGCCAGTTGAGCTACAAGAAACCCTGCTTCAAACAAACACAAATATGTCACCCATAAAACAGAAAGAAATAATGAAATAAAAGGCCTATCTGATTTGTAGCATAGAAGGAATGTTTAAGGCATAGATATTAAGTAGATCAGAGTACAAGTGGAAATACCTGATAAGCACTTGGAATTGGCTCTGAGAAAGGTTAAAAAGGTGTGTGTGTGTGTGTGTGTGTGTGTTCTTTCTTGACAGAGTTTCTATGTGTAGCCTGGCTGTCTTGGAGCTTGCTCTGTAGACCAGACTGGCTTCAAACTCACAGATCTGCCTGCCTCCCTCTGCCTTCAGAAAGCTAGGATTAAAGGCATGAGCCACTACCCAGCTTGGGGGTGGTGGGGGGGTGCTTTTTTTATGATAGAGTTAAAGGAGTTCCCCATCAAGAACAGCTTCATTCTTGAGGAAGGTTGAAAAACTAATAGCAAACAATTAAACATACTTGTTACAAAAACTAAAGAGAAGATGAGTTTGACCAAGATTTTGATAGTTGAGTTCCTTAAAGGAACCTTAAAGTACTTTTACACATCTTTTGACCAAGATTGACAAATTGGTTGTCCTGTAAAAGATAGTAAACATTTAGGTGCTCTTTATGCAAAATAACTTAAATGATTGAATGCCTTTTGCTTTATTTTAGAATCTCCCACCTTCTGTTGTGGCTACTGTTGGTGGTAAAATTTTCACATTTGGATCTTACAGGCTTGGAGTACACACCAAAGGTAACTGCTGTTTAGTTATGTTCTAGTGATAAGAATTTTTAGTAAACTGTTGAAGTTGCTCACTTTTATCGAGTATAGAACATAGTTCCCATTATCTTACTACTGTTAATAAACATTGTTAACATTATCTTATATAAGCTCATCTTCCATACTTAGTTCTGTATTTATGTGAGCTTTAATGAAAATATATGATATCCTTCTTAAGAAATTACTTTATTTCTATAGGAGCTGATATTGATGCACTTTGTGTAGCCCCAAGACATGTGGAGAGATCAGATTTTTTTCAGTCCTTCTTTGAAAAGTTGAAACATCAAGATGGCATTAGAAACTTAAGAGTGAGTATCCTTTGGCATCAGATATTTTGAAGTTAGAAACAGCTGTAAAATCAAGGATTTGGGATTATTGGCATACCTCTTCACTTGCTATATCTTGGTAATATCACACATAGAAATTAGGAACATGGTTTATAGCTCCTTGGAGTGCTTTTATATCTAAGACTCTACACCTGTAGCTCATAGATCTTAGCTATGTGACGGAGCCTCGGTTTTCTCATCTAGAAAATAGAGATTTGGTGATATTATGAGTTGTTTTTCCACGATTAATGTGATAGTAGACTCAAACCACTTACTGTAATATCTGATAAATGATTGGTGTACATCAGATTGTGGATGATATTATGTTTAAGGTTCAGCTAATGACTGTGTATATATCTAGTCCTTCATTTAGCAAGTAACGTTTCCATACTAGCAATCTATAAAACACTGGCCTCAGTTCTACCAGTGTAATTTTGTATGTATGGGTTTGCAGGTGTGTGGGGGTGATCATACTCTTATGTGTTGCTTATGAAGGCCACAGGACAACTTTTGAGTGTCCTCCTCAAGAACATTGTCTGCCTCCTGTCAGATTCTTCATTGGCCTAGAATCACCAGTTAGGGTAAACTTACTGGTCAGTGAGCTCTAGGGATCTTCTTGGCTCCTCCCTAGTGCACCATTGTGCTAGGTCTCATGTTTGCAGGTCAAGTACTGAGCTGAGCCAGCCCTTAGCATTCTTCTTTGATAGATTAGATAAGAGCTCTAGATATTTTAAAAATTAACACTAATGCTTTTGTAGTTTTTTAGGAGTCTCATGCACACACCATGCTCAAACTCATGTAGCCAGCAGTAACCTTGAACTTTTGAACTCCCCTGCTTCTCCTGAGTGCCAGGATAACAGGAGTGGTTCACCATATAGTTTATACTTAATGCTTTTTATAATAATCAATTTTCAATTTAAACCTCACAAATAGTACCCAGATGACAGTAGTTCTGCCTTCTAGTTTCTGACAGATACTCTTAACAGGATAAATTAAATAATAGGTGCAGAGACATATGTGTGACCTAAATAATACAAGTTATAAAGTAGAAGGCCTTAGCCTGCATATTAGACCAAAAATGGTTTTTTTTACCTTTTTTTTTTTTACTGAATAAAATACAAATTAAAGGAAAAGATACAGTATTGGAAGTTAGGAATGATAAAGGATTAACCCATGTTATTTTTCTTCCTCTTTTATAGGCTGTAGAAGATGCCTTTGTGCCTGTTATAAAATTTGAATTTGATGGAATTGAAGTAAGTATTTAATGTGTTTTTTACTTGACATTTGAAATATTTAACCTGTAAATTTTGTTTCAAAATCAGACTTGGCATTGGCACTTTTTTTGCTTAGTTTGGACTTGGGTTTTGAAATAATTTCACTATACAACTGTAGCTGGCTTCCTGGGACTTAAAATTACAGGTGTGTACCAGCTTACCTGGCACTGGAATTAAATAGTAGTCTTTTTGCCGCCTTTCCCATTTCTCTTGACCACTCACCCTGGACAACAAACCAACCTCCATCTCTCCCCTCATGCTTTTTGTACACAGCTGTCCTCATTCCATAATCATCTAAAATAACTGCTGTTATAATTTTATTTGGAGCAGTATTCTGTTTATATTATTATCTTGAAACAATTTTCAAAGTTCAGTACTGAGTGTACTGAATTACCCATTTTTTTGCTTTATAACATTTTTTCCCCAGGAGTTACTGTTTATTTAGTTCTGTTAGTTTGGTTGTTATTCTTATGTCTAATTTAAACCCAGTCTTCTCCAGTCATCAGAATCTTTTTTAAGCTAAGAGTCATCAGCATCTTGAGAAAAAGTCCACTGGATCTTCTCACCTATTCTTGTCTTAGCCTACTGATGCCCATCTTGGGGAACAGCTGGCATCTTGTTCTCTACCATCTTCCTCAAAGTTTCTATTCCTATTCTAGAATTTTCTTCTTTCTAGATATGGTACCATTTTACTGGAGCTCATCCATTGGATTTCTGAAAAAGAATTTGTTTTCTTTTTATCTTGCATGCTTAAAAATCCCTGAATTCATAATTTTGCTGAGTACATCATTCTAGGTAGGAAATAACTTTTTACATATTTTAAGGCCTTTGTTGTTTTGTAGCTTCTGTGCTGTTGAAAAATACACCATTTTTAGTCTGTTTTCTTTGTATGTATGACCATTTTTGTCTCTTGTTTAGTTGTTCTGATTTTGTGTTCATACTTTTAGAATTCATGTTGATAATATGCTTTAATGTGTGTTTTTAACTGATGTGCTTGGCATGCAATAGTCCTTTTAGTATGGAAACTCCTTCAGTTCTTGGAACTCTTACTGAGTTGTTTTTTTTTTTTTGATTTCCTACCTTTGTTTACACACATGTGTCTTTTTTCATGGAATCTTAACATTTGTCTGTTGAGCCTCCAGAACAGCTTCTATAAATATAAACAAATAAAAAGCATGCACACACACACAAATTCTTCTTTCTCACTTATTAGCTACATCTTCATATTTTTATTTTGCCTTTTGGTGTTTTCTTGTCTTTCAAACTTTGTAATGATTTCCACTGTGCTATTTTTAATTTTTTAAAAATACTTTTTATATTTTCTAAATGTTCTTTTACATTTATGTATTTATTTGTAGCTACCTGTCCTTATTCTTGAGTAAAATGTTTAAATCTGTTTTCTTAGGTTTCCTGGGTCTGTTGTCATCTGTCCACCTGCTTTCCAGCTTCTGTGCCTTTTTGCTGCTGTTTCTGTCTCATTTTCCTATTAGGTTATGCCATAAAATCAAAACAAACTAAACCAAAAACAAAGCACATTTTCCCTAATGCTTTAGTTGAGTTTCAAGAGGGAATGAATGTAAATGTGTGTTGGATCTTCCATCTTTATTTCAAGACTTGCAGTGATTTTCCTGCATTATATCACTTCATAGGACTTTTGATGTTTTGTTAGAATGTCCCAAATTGAGTTGTGGCTAAGGAAAATGGAAAGTAATATTTGTTTGTCTCTTTTTTTCCTTTTTTACCTCTTTCCAAAGATTGATCTAGTCTTTGCAAGACTGGCAATACAAACCATATCAGATAATTTAGATCTAAGAGACGACTCTCGCCTAAGAAGCCTTGATATAAGGTGTATTCGCAGCTTAAATGGTAAGTTTCTAAACTTACCTTAGATGCTGGCTTAAAAACAATTGAGTATATAGAGCCTTTTTGTAGAATTTTAAATGAACTATTTTAAGACGTGAACAGCTAAGAATAGTTGGGAGTATAGCTCAGTTTTAGAGCACAAGCTTAGTGTATGAGAGACCTTGCATTTACAGTCACAGTTTTCTTTATAAAAAAATAGTACGATCACATTTAAACATCCTGGAAAGTATGATTTATTTGAAAGATTAAGTTAAGAATTATAAACTGACTTTTATCAGGAGCCTTGTAAGCCTTTACCATTTATCAAGAACACCAAAATATGCTTGTTTATCTGGATTATGTCAATATTTACCATATCATAAATAAAAAGTGTTTAGAATATTTATAATTCACTGGAAATAAAAAACATGATAAATTAATAATATTCTTTATCTAAAATAGATTTTGTTTTCAGATTTCCTTATCTTGCTTTTATAGTCAGCCTGTTATCTAAAATCTTATTTTTATTAAAAATATAAAAAGACATGAATTGCCTTTTCACATTAATATCCAGTGATCTGTCTAATGCCTTTTTGCCTTTGCCTGTTTTTGGTTTTTTGGGTTTTTTCATTTTTTTTCCTATTGTACTGGTTATTTGGAAAATGTTAGTTTACAAAGTTATTTTTATCTTCCAAATGTTAACACAGATTTCATTGTAAAGTAGTTTTTAAGTTGTATTGATTAATTAATATTAGCACCATATCTGCCATTAGAGTCTTTAAAGTATTAGAAGCTATCAGGTTCACAATAGCAGAGACAAGTGATTTATAACTAATATAGCTTGAAAGCTTAAATTCTCTTATCCACAATAAGTAGTCCCATTGTTTTCCTTGAGGCAATGAGCTTACTTAGTTTATTTTTCTGAGATTATCTATTGACTATCCAGTGTGGAACCTTGTTTATTTGCCAGTTATAACTTCAAGTAAGGAGATATTACTTTAAAGTAACAGATACTTTTAGCCTACAACTGAAATGATGTCACACTCCTCTCCTTTTGTTTTTTCTTAACTGTGGTAGTAGTGAAGATACATTGTGTACTACTATACTGTGTTGCCACTGTCATGATTGACTTGAAAGGTAACAATAGTTTTAGCCTTCATTGTCATTTCCCCATCAATGCAATGTTAACATACTTTGAAAATGGCAAACAAAGATATAGTATTCTTATAAAAATAGATTTGACCTCACAGATTATCTGAATGTAATAGTGAATTACACTTCTCTGTGGAAAGGTTTTTATTGAAACAAAGCAGCTTTATAATTTGGAGGCATTGTGATTAAATCAGATGTAGAAGAAACTGAAAAGGACCTAAGACTCTACTTCAGCAGTGGATTTCTTTACCTATGTACTTTCAGTTCCTCAAAAATGAAGGAACTTTTCATGTGTGTTTTAGAATTTTAAATGCATCCTGACTTATCATTCATATTTTTAGCATTTGAGAGTTTGAACGTTGAGACCATTTGAATTGACTGAGTTTTGTTCTTTAGTGAAAAAAATCAATGCTTTGTCTTTTTCAGGGTGCAGAGTTACTGATGAAATTTTGCACTTAGTGCCAAATAAAGAAACTTTTAGACTCACCCTAAGAGCAGTCAAATTATGGGCAAAACGTAAGTATCTCAGGTCTTTATGTGTCTGTTTTACAATTCTAATTTTCTGTTGCCAGTAATTGGAGCACATATAAAGACTTAGCTTACTGATGCTATTGAGGGTTGATGGCCAATAAACTTGGAAAAGATGTTTCTCAGGTGTAATGCTCTATGTGACTTTCTGTAGATGTGTGTGTGTGTGAGAGAGAGATGGAGTGGGGGGGATACTCATAAAGGCCTTATTATGCCTAGTTCTGATTTTATATGGGTCATTCTGTATTATTTGTAACTATATTCAGATACTGCTTAAGAATGGTAATGTATGATGGCTGAAGAAATGGCTGCATGGGCTGAATTTGAATCTCTAACACACTGTGCAAAAGGCAAGGCGGCACAGCTGTGTGTGCCTGTAACCATAACCTCGGCACTATAGGACTAGATCTCTGAGGCTTACTGGTTGTTACCCTAGCTTCAGGTTCATTGAGATAGAGGTCAAGGGAATCAGGCAAGGAGAGATAGAGCAGGACACTCAGAGGCCTCCTCTACACAGGTGTTCGTTTATACCACATACACAAATACACATGATTTTTAAAAGAAAAAGAATGATGACAATGGTCTGAATTGTTGTTAGGTAATTTTGTGGCCATGCAACCAAAATAGAATATTCTCACATAAACCTACTTGGTACAGCCTACTGTAAACATGGGCTCTAGATAGCCTTTTAACTGTATGAATAATGTAGGCCCTTTGTAATACTGTGCTAAGTACTTTCATGTAGAAGACACCTAAACCCAGTAAGGTATAGCAGAAACAAAAAATGATCTGTGTGAGATACATATGATAAATGGAAATTGCTGAACCCAAAGTTGGTTCTGTGAGCGAATATCGAGTGATTGTAAATGCCCAGGGTATTAATATCCACTATTATAGACTTTATGGATACTGTATACTTTAGTCTCACTGATTTATGAAAGTTTTTTCAATAATAAATTGACCCTAGCCTATTATAATTTTTCTTTGTAAACTTAATTTTTTAAAGCTTTTTTATTCCTTTGTAATAACACAAGCATAAATTGGGCATGGCCAATAATTCCAGTGTTCAGGAGGCTGAGGTTGGAGGGTAACACATTCAAGGCCAGCAAAACATTGTTTAAAACTCACAAATACAGGCAGGAATGCTGGCTCCTACCACTGTTCCCATTGGAATGCTGAGGATGCTCACTGGAGCATGGGGTTAGAAACCAGCCTCATTTCCACTCAATGTCACTGTGAATCTTGTTGATGCTTCTTCTTCTTTTCTTTTCTTTTTTTTTTTTCTTGTGTTTTATCTTCTCTTACGTCTTCTACAGCTATACATTTTTAAATTCCCATTATAATCTTAAAGCCCACCATCATGTATGTGGTACATTTTTGACTGACACCATTATTTGGTTTGTGACTACACTGAAGCAGTGCTGTACTTTAGGCACAAGGTTTCACATAGTCTACAGATCTCTTCATAAAACTTTGACTGTGGAAATGTTTTAATGTGGCATTGTCAGATCCAGTTAACTCTGTGGCTAGTAAACACTTGAAATGTCCAACTAAGGAATTGAATTTTTAAAGTTGTTTTATTTCATTGACTTTAAAATTAAATAATTTCCAAAAGAAGGCAAGATAATGTTCATATAAAAATCTTGTATATATAGAGTATTGTCATTCCTAATAACCAGAATAAATGCAGTCACATATTAATACACTGATAACTATGTGTAAACACCATATATATATATATATATGGTTTATCCACACTGTCAAATACTATTTTGCAATAAAAAGGAATGCGGTACTGGTAAAAAAGTATAACATACAGTTGTTGATACCACTTTGTCGAGTGTGAAAGAAGTTACCCAAAAGACAACATAGGCATGCCTTGATTTATATAAAAATGTCCATAATTAGGACAGATGTATAAAAGACAGAAGGTAGATGAGTGGGGCATAGGTCTTCAGATTCAGAGAGAGGAGTAGTATGACTGTTAAAGGTTTCTTTTCTTTTGGAGATGATGAACATGTTCTAGAAGTGATTATGGTGGTTACCCAGCTGTAAATACATCAAAAGGTGTTGAATTGAATAGTTTAAATGAATCAATCTTATAGTATGTGAATTGTGGAGGCCTAAGGCAAGTGGTATTTGCCTGTGTCCTTGAATAGTCAGAATAATGTAATTTGTATTAAAAGCACAGCATGAACATTTTGTCTCCTTACAAGCTAAACACTATTTTTGTCAATTTTTACACACAAAATTTTTATATTTAACATGTCTAAATAGACACTTTATAGGATTTTTTACCTCTCTGTATGGGATATAAAATAATGACACAATGTGTAATAAGGGCATATTAGGTTTAATGGTATCATAATAGTTTCCTATAAATTTCTATAAAAACGTCATTTCACAAGTGAGTCTAATGTCATTGGTATATTGTTCACAATGGAGAGGTATCCAAATTCTGTGAAACTGAAGTTTGTTGCCAACTTAAGCTTGGTTTTAAAATACTATCCATGCATATAATAACCAGTAGTGAAATGTTCTTTGTAACCTACTTACCTCCAGGTGTCTTTCCTTCTGTTTGCTTCTTTCTCAGGTATTCAAAATGATGGGTGGGTGATTTAAGAATGATTTCTCTTTTTTTTTTTGTTTGTTTTTGTTTTGTTTTCTCGAGACAGGGTTTTCTGTGTAGCTTTGGAGCCTATCCTGGCACTCCTCTGGAGACCAGGCTGGCCTTGAACTCACAGAGATCCGCCTGCTTCTGTGCTGGGATTAAAGGCGTGCGCCACCAACTCCCGGCCTAAGAATGATTTCAATAGTATTATCAGTCAGGACAGTTGACACTAAAACAGGGAACTGAAGTTATTATACATTAGGGGACAAAGCAAAAGAGCTAGAAGTAGAAACTAGCCGTTTCCTAACTGACTCTGAGCCTAGCGGAAGTTATGCTTATCGTCTCAATTTTGTGTTCAGTCTTATGAATGAATGAAGTTATCCAGTTGTATTTCAGGCATAATAGAGCTGAATAATTAACGAATGTTTGTTTTCACAGGTCGTGGTATTTATTCCAATATGTTGGGATTCCTTGGTGGAGTCTCCTGGGCAATGCTAGTTGCCAGAACTTGCCAACTGTATCCAAATGCAGCAGCTTCAACTCTAGTGCACAAATTTTTTTTAGTTTTTTCCAAATGGTAAGTATATAATTTAACTAATTGTTAACTTCTATGAATATGTAAAAAAAAAAAAGTTTAAAGAACTGTAGTCAGGTGTAGTGGTTCATACCTATAACCCATCAGCTGAGAGCCTTAAACAGGAATATTGCCATAAGTTTGAGGACAGTGGGCTTTATAGTCTGTTCCAGTCCTGGCTATAGAGAGAGACCCTGTTTCAAGAAAAACAAACCTATGCATATATATTTTGTTTTGCATTCAGTAAAAGCTTTAAAACGTATTTAATCTGAGATGAGACATCCAAATGACTCTTTCTTCTCTTCTAATTGAATTATAGAAGTTGTATGTGCTTATGAAGTGTCCATGATATTTTGATAGTTAATGTGCATTGTACAATCAGATCAAGGTTAACATGTGTGCCTCCTCAAACCTTTATCATTTCTTTATGGTAAACAGTCTTTTAGCTTGTTGAAGTTCCAAGTTCAACTAACATTACTTGTAGTCACCCTACGGTGCAACAGAACACTAAAACTTCTCTAATTTAACATCCATTGAATGACATTTTCCTATCATCTTCTCTACCCTGCTCTCGAACTCACTGCTAACTACTATTCTACTTTCACCTTCTATGAGATCAACATTTTTAGATTCCTCATGTGAGGGAGATCCTGAAGAATTTTCTGTGCCTTGTCTATTTCAGTTAATGTAATGACCTCCAGTACCATCCATGTTATCCTAAGTGGCATAATTTTGTCTTCCCACACCTACCAGTGTTTTGGAAAAAATGGTTTCATTTTGTAGCCTAGGCTTGCATACAACTTGCATTCCTCTTGCCTTAATTTTCCAAGTATTGAGTTCACAGATATGTACTACCACACCTAGTTTTGCCTCCTTTTTCCCTGCATTTTTTATTTTATTTTATGTATATGGATATATGTTTTACCTGCATGTATGTCTGTTTACCACTTGTGTGCCTGGTGCCTGTAGAGGTCAGAAGAGGGCATCAGATCCCCTGGAACAGGAGTTACACACAATTGTGAGCCTTCCATGTGGATGCTTCCAATTGAGCCTGGGGGTCTTCAGGATCAGCAATCAGTACTCGTAACCCTTGGCTCCCTTTTAAATAACTCAGTAAGGCAGCCCTTGAGGAGTTTGTGATTGCGAGCCTTATCCTAAGACTGTAACAGCCAGATAGATTTTGGCTTTGTACATTAAGCTGGCCTGGTAAAATGGAGATGATTACATGCTTCATTCATGTGCTAGTATTTCCAACAAATGTTACTTATTGCTGTTATATCATCAGAATCAAATCTGTAAAAGCATCTAACTAACAAAGGACTCTTGTTCTTACTGAATAAGGGCAATAAGTGGATTCTTCCTCTTTTACTTTGTACTTTGCCATGTGAAAATTGGAACAGTTTAATACTTTTAATATTTCATATAGCATCTGAAGTGAGTCTTTGTGAATTAATTTACTTTACTCATGCTAGGGAATGGCCAAATCCTGTGCTGTTGAAACAACCAGAAGAAAGCAACTTGAATTTGCCTGTCTGGGATCCTCGGGTATGAGAATTTACTATGGAAAAGGGGGCTTTCTCCAGATCCCTTTCACTAAGGATTATTCCTCTTCTTCCTACACACCTTTCTTATGCAGCAATAGCTCTTTTCTTCCCTTTGCTGTGTATTTTGATGCAGGTGGTTTGAATTTCTAATGTTGATCCAAAAGTTATATCATTAAAAATTGCCCATATATGACAAGATAAGTGGATATATCAGAAACAGTACCATAACCCATTGTAAAAAAAAAAAAAAATAGTGTCACAAGTAGTTACTTATAATAAAGTATTGAAATATATAAAAATAATACTTGCAGTACAGTTTAAAGCAGATTTATAATTCTCACAGCTTCCATTTTAATTTTTAAATTCCAATGTAATAAGAGTAGGCACTCATTCTCTATATAATGGAAGATAATGTCTCTGTAGTTATGATATTGTATTTCCATAATTCTGAAAGACTTGCTCATAAGATGCATCATTTGATGAGGAAAAATTAATTTCTGTAGAGTTTTGACAAACAACTATATCTGTCTAAAGAAAGAAATGCAGTTCAGGAGAGAAATACACTTGCTAGAATTGAGGGAATTTAGTATTAAATTTATATTTCATATTCTTCAGACTTTGGGGGAAATGCAATGAGGACTACTTAATTAGGGGAATAGATAATTATTTTGCTTCTGATTTTACAGGTAAATCCATCAGATAGATATCATCTTATGCCCATAATTACCCCCGCCTATCCACAACAGAATTCTACCTACAATGTGTCTACATCTACTCGAACAGTAATGGTCGAAGAATTTAAACAAGGTAAACATGTTTGGCCCCATTTTCCCTTACATAGTCTTAAGTTTTTGGTTGACAATTATATTTTACACTAGAGCTATTGATTACCAATTAGAATTCTATAAATTGTAAAACTTCAAATGCTTTCCAAAATACATAGTATTGAGGCCAAAATTTGAGCCAGCTTAGTATGATGGAATTTAACTTTTGTGTTCTAAGAAACAGCATAATGTGTTGACATTTCTAAGTCATTTGTTGGGTTGGATGGTTTGGTAGAATGATATAAGAGCTGGTCATCTTTCAAAATTAGATTTAGTTTCTAAAAACTCTTTGCTTTTGTTTAGGCCTTGCAGTTACAGATGAAATTCTTCAAGGGAAATCAGATTGGTCCAAACTATTAGAGCCACCGAATTTCTTTCAAAAATACAGGTATTTAAACTTTTGCAATTTTTATGTATGTGTATCTAGGGAAAATGTCAACTTTTTGTCTTGGTTTGTTGGGTTTTTTTGTTTTACATTTTTTATTTTGAAGGAGGCTAGTTGTTTATGTCTGAACATATGTGGAAGACAGAGGCCAACTTAACAGGAGTTAGATCTGCATGGGTCTTAGGGATCTAAGGCAAGGTATCAGGCCTGGTGACAAGCACCTTAGCCTTCTAAAACCCTCATTTTGCTTTTTGAGACAGAGCCTCACTCTGTATTCCAGGCTGGCCTGGAACTCATGGTGATTCTTCTGCCTCATCTTCACGAGTGGTAGAATTCTATGAATCAGCACGTGTCCAATAGGAATTTAAATATAGAAAGCTAATTATGACAAATGACAGACTCAGATTCTCAAGCAAAGTAGAAAATTGGCTAATAGAAATCCTAAGTGGTGAGAGCACCCTCATTCTAGTAGTAGCTAGTCCAGCATCAGTGATATTTTTTAGGTGAGGTAATTTTTCATTGTGGGGTGTACAGTTTTGTAAAAGTAGACTGTAACTTTCAGAAACTCTGTACCATGTATTGTTTTGTATATTGGGGAAGAAGAAAGAAAAATAGATGAAAATGTTTCTGACTTCTTTTTTTCTCCCTGATTACTGTTGCAAATCCCTTGTAGACATTATATAGTATTGACTGCCAGTGCATCAACAGAAGAAAATCATCTAGAATGGTAAGACTTTGTTTCAAATTCTCTTACCCACTGTCTGATGATACAGTAGTTATGTGGCTTTCATAATTAGTATGTTTTATTGGTGGCTGATGTCCATGATGTCAGGGATTAAGAAGTGAGTTTGAGGCCAGCCTGGCTGGCCTACAGAGCAAGTGCCAGGATAGGCTCTAAAGCTACACAGACAAACCCTGTCTCAACAAAAAAACAAGAAAAAAGTCAAGTTGAGCATCAGCAGTGATAAAAGGCTGTGATGCAGATTCTACTTGCTATTTCTCGGAATCACAATACAGTGAAATTTTGAAGAATCCTGGTGTCCCTGATGCACAGCTGCAGCTTACTCTTATTGTTCCCCTCAAGAACTCAAAGGGAAGACACTTTATGTATCATTTTAACTTAGGTAGGAGGTGGCACAAGTGTCAGTTACTGTCAATAGACAGTAGTTTTGGTCAAGCTGCAGTATATCTTTTTAGTGTGTCTGAATTCATCCCCTCTGCCCTCAGAATATTCTCATTCCTAGGTCCACCAGGCAGAAGTTGTGCTAACAGTACTTTCTTCCAGTCTGACTTGTTGCTTTAAGGGTTTTTATTTCTCTGGTAATTTAATTTTTTTATTGATGCAGTATTTAATTTGTATAGATAAGGAATCAGGAAACTATAGCATATGACAAATTTAGTCTGTCATTTGTCAGATCTTTTTGGTACACAGCCATCCTTCTTCATTAATGTTGTTGAATGCTAGTCTCTGCTACATGGCAAAGAAAGAGACTATACAGCTCAAAAGCCCAAAAGATGTACTTACTGTGTGGTACTAAGAGAAAAGTTTACTTCTCATTTAGGTAACAACACTTCTGTAACTCGATTATATCAGCTTTATAAATGTTTGAAAATATTTGAAAGTATTCTTGAAATTATTCTGACTTATAAAAACTAATAAATACATAGCTAACAGTCATATATCGTAAGTGAGAGAGAAAATTAAGTTGTAAAAATCTGGTGAAACATGTTTTTCTAATATTTGATTTAAATTTAGTGACTTTGAAATGCAAAATCCAGTATTTTGTGAAAATCAGTATGCTTATTTAAAATATCATGTGCCTATGTTAACTTTTCTTGTTCATATTATTTAAAGGTAGTTTAGGGTTTACACATAGATATAAAAGTAGAAATGATTGAAGATTACACTAAATACAAGTTTTTGTTTATGCTCAAATCATTACTATTATAGCCATAACCAAGAGTTGGTATTTTAATAGTCAGAAATATGTTAAATTTAGATCATAAGCAGAAAGTCACTTAAATTTGACATTTGCCTATTTGATGTTGTATTTTTTATTATTATTATCATTATTATTGTGTGTGAGAGAGTCTGCTTATGCCACAGCATGTATATGGATATACATCTCTGTAGTGGTTCTCTCCTTCCACTGTTGACCCCCAGATCTCAAATTCTGGTTGTCAGACTTACATGGCAAACACTTGGACCTGTTGAGCCATGTTGCTACCCCAACTGTTATTTCTAAATATCCCTACTATAATTGGACTGCATTTTTAAGTGAACATACAAAGCTTGGTAGTTGATGTATTACTTGGTTTACTTGAATATAGTAGTCAAATTTGATGTGATTTCTTAGAAATCTTGTTTATTGCAGGGTTGGATTAGTAGAATCTAAAATCCGTGTACTTGTTGGAAATTTGGAACGGAATGAATTTATTACTCTTGCCCATGTGAATCCCCAGTCATTCCCAGGAAATAAAGAACATAATAAAGCGTAAGTTGTCCTTAAGTCAATTTCTTAAATAATGTTATTTGACATATGCATTGTTTCAGATGAGTTTTAAGACTGTCCTTAACAGACATTGATGGAGGAATGATACATGTTTTGAATATGAGTGACCATTTTTTATTATATATAAGTACATGTTGCAATCAGTAGTAAACTTCAGCAGAAACTCCATAATAGTGTTAGGAACATCTTTTAAATATATGTTCAATGAGTCATTCTTCAGTACTATTTTTTTTTAAAGATTTTATTTATTTATTTATTATGTATATAACATTCTGCATGTATATCTGCATACCAGAAGAGGGCACCAGATCTCATAAGGGATGGTTGTGAGCCACCATGTGGTTGCTGGGAATTGAACTCAGGACCTCTGAAAGAGCAGTCGGTGCTCTCAACCTCTGAGCCATCTCTCCAGCCCCTATTTTTCTTTTAAAACAATACTAAGCAGTATTCTTAGTATTCGTATTAGCACTTAGTATTAGCTGTGTTCTGGATATAGTTTTAAGAATGTGGCTGTGTCACTAAAATCTATTAATAAGATAGATAAATAGAAACTTAGGTTTTGATTTTCCAGGAGCATTTGTTTGATTAAAAAAATAATGGAAATGTTTTATCTTTCTTTATAGCAACAATTACGTATCAATGTGGTTCCTTGGGATAATTTTTCGGAGAGTAGAACATGCAGAAGGTGTTAACATAGACTTGACATATGATATACAGTCATTTACTGATACAGGTAAGGCTTCATAATCATGGGGCTGTGCTTCTCAGCCAGGGCTGTAACTCAGTTATCATCTGTTTAGGGTCTAGCTGGAGATATTTTCAGTTCCTGATTTGGTTAACTCATATTGTAGAAACCAGTGCTGCTACTAGGGAAAAGGGAAAAGAATGATGAAGCAATTTACAAGACATGATAAAGGCATTGTAGAATAACAACAGGGTACTGCTACCATTTATTTAATAACAACAACAACAACAAAAGTAGACATACTTACAAATGCAGAAGATATCTCTGGCAGGATTTTTTTTTTTAAGGCACTCTTGGTTGCAGTGCACTCCTGTCCAGAGGACAGGAGTGAGGAGACTCGCTAGGTACTCCTAAATCACTTAAATTTTGTACCATCTTAATGTATTTTCTGTTTTAAAATAAAACTACACTTCACAGGTGACTTTCCTGTGTGTTCAGCCAGAGTATGTAATCACAGTCCATAAAAGCGAGTTGATTTTTATGTTTTTTATATCAAATAATCATCAGTGGATACAGATTTGCTGAATGTGTCCCACGATCAATAGACAAAAGTTGCCCTTCATATTATCTAGCCCCATCCACATCTCTCTGGAGTATCCATTGCAGACTGAGCTAGTGTTGATCTGGAGTAGTATTTGCACATTCATGCTGTTACTATTCGTGGCACGCAAGAGTCTTCTAAATTCTTTGTAGCTAGTCCTCATGTTTATCATGGTAATGTAGATTCCTGTGCTTCACCTTCAAACTACTAAATCACATTCTGAGGAAGGAACCAGAGAATCTGCAATTTGAACAAGTATCCCTGATAATCATAAGAATCTAGAATGAAATTATGAATACAAAAAAGGAGAAAGCTGAGAATTCACTAGATTTTTTAAATATTCTTTTCCACATGTAGACTCTAGGTCCCACAGTATTAAATAATATGCCACATTTCTTAGCATTTGCAGTGCAAAATAACTCTCCTGCCTCTGTCTTCAGTGGACTTAAAATCTAATTGTGTAGACACAAAATACTCTAATTTGTATGATATAATACCACTGGTCTTCCTAAGTTATGAAAAGCACTAGAATGGAAATCTAGAGTCATATGTCTCCTGATGCAATCAGGGTGTTCCATGCTTTCTGAGACATTTTTCCACCTACACACTGAAGATAGACTTGCACATGGCTTCTGTCCTCCAAACTTCTAGATCTGATGTGGACTATGTTAATAAAACAGTCTCAGGGTAGAAGGAGGACTTGAATTGCATTTGGATATTTGATGCAAGAATTATCTTAGGTGGCTGCAGAGATGACTTAGAGGTCAGAGTGCTGGCTGCTCTCCCAAGGGCCTAAGGCTTAGTTCCCCAGCACCCACATGGAGGCCTATAGCTCCTGTCTGTACCTCCAGTTTCAGGAAATCCAGTATTGTCTTCTGACCTCTGCAGGCACCAGGCCTGCATATGGCACATGTACATGCAGGCAAAATACTCATACACACATAAGAAGAAGAAAAAGAATTATCTTAGATTCAGACAGATAATTATAAGGAGAGATTGCCCTTTTGAAAATAGCAAAGAACAAGATCTGGAAAAAAAAATATATTTTTGCTGTATATTCATTTTGCTAATGAGTGCTAATTATAAGAAAACTCTTAGAAGATATGCACATAGAATCAGTCAATTCTTAAATAGTACTGTGACACAATGGAAGTATTTTAGAAATATTTGTTCCACAGGAGGATGTGTGTTTAGTGGGGGATAAGTGATCTATACATTTCACAAAAGGAAAACAGCTTATGGTTCAGAAAGAAATTTCCCCTTTAACATATTAACATTGTTACAGTGTACAGGCAGGCAAACATTATAAATATGCTAAAGGATGGAATGAAAATTGAAGCAACTCATGTAAAGAAAAAACAACTTCATCATTACCTACCTGCAGAGATTCTTCAAAAGAAGAAAAAGGTGGGTCTGTCCTATTTCTCTAGCATGGTTCCATTGCAAGAGTTGAGCTTGAGACCAAATTTGCATTTCATGTCTCCTGCAAGCCTATTGCAAAAGAGGGTGTAGACAGTCCATCTGAAATATCATCTTAAAACAGAGACAAGTTGCTTTTGTGTGCTTCAGAATATTCTCATTTGCTTTTGAAATCCTAACAGTGTCTTTCTCTTTGGCAGAGTCTCTCTGATGTAAGCCGGATTTCAGGTGGCCTTCAGTCCAAAAGATCGTCCCTGGATAGCAGTTGTCTGGATAGCTCCAGAGACACCGATAGTGGAACACCTTTTAATTCGCCGGTGTCTACAAATAAGCCTTCCAACCCAGACAGCCCCTCAGGAGAAGCAGAAAGGTGTGTGTCTAAACTGTCCTTCCAGGCTGTTACTGGAGGGTGATGAGAACTTTCTTTCTATAACTTTCCTAAAAGTTCTCTTTGCATTGTTAGAAGAGTTTTCTCTTACTAGCTCCTAGCTTCTTTTTAGGAATACTCAACAGTGAGTATAGTGTTGCAGGAGTTGCCCCAGGATCAAAGGCTTGTGGAATTGTGCAGTACAGGCGAATTTACGATTTTTCTACTTAAGTTTTTTCCCTCTTGATTTTTCTCACATTATCTGACTTTGTGTTTTTGTGAGTAAGGTTGAAATACTAGAAAGAAGTAATCCTGAGTGTTAAAGTAGTGCTTTTAAAATTAGTAATAGTGAAATAAATTAATAATGATAATTTTATACTTTTACTAGGAATAGTACTGAACCTGCTACTGTAATTGTGGAGAAGCTGCCAAGTGTTCCCCCAGCTCAAGGGCTATCTATTCCAGTCATTGGCGCAAGTAGGTATCTAAACTTTTATTACTAGCAATTCTGCTATATAAATATTTGATTACTAAAATTGTTTTTGTACTTTTCAGAGGTTGACCCTACAGTAAAAGCTGTATCCTCCCCGTCTGTATGCACCATTCCTACTGTAGTAGGACGGAACGTTATTCCTAGAATCACAACATCCCACAACCCTGTCCAGGGACAACCACATCTAAATGGACTGTCCAATATAAGTAAGAATGTTACACCCAAAAGATCCCATTCGCCACCTACAGATGGGACTTCTAAGAGGTTAAAAGACATAGAAAAGGTAAAGTTACGATTTTAATAATGATCATTCATTGATTTTTTTTTTTAAGTTAAAATAATAGTAAAACTAGTAACATGCCTTCAACCCTAGCACTTGGGAGGCAGAGGCAGACAGATCTCTGTGAGTTTGAGGCCAGCCTGGACTACAGATCTAGTTCCAGGATAGCGAAGAAAAGTTCCAGAGAAACCCTGTCTCAAAAAAAAAAAAAAAAAAAAAAAAAAGTTTTCACTGACATTTTCCTTAACTATATAAGTTTTCCACTGGGAGTTATTCTGTTTGAAAAGAATATTTCAAACCCTTCAGGAATGATATTTGTTGTTCATCTTGAATTTAAATTGCTGATGTCTGAAAGTTTGCTTGATTAAGTTTCTTGATTTACACAAAAGTTAAGAAGACTCCATAAAATTGTGCTATTTTTTCTGTTAATGTGGATCTTCTTAGCTTCCAGTACATGGTAATAAAATTGTTAGAATCTGAATTGATCTAACCAAAAAGATCACTTAAGCTGTAGAAATTAAGGGTAGCAGTTGAATTCAATCTAATTTTAGTTGTAGTTAATTGAAGTCATTAATCAAATTGTTGTCAGTTTTGATGATAGACTAATTAGTCTCCTGATTTATATTAATTGGTATGGTCTTTGCAGATATATAATAGCAATTCATTTTTATTGTTTATGTCTTAGTTTATTCGACTTGAGTCAGCATTTAAGGACTCCCAGGCTGCCGAGGATAGGAAAAGAAAATCAATGGTAAATACGTTAATATCACACTCAGAATGTGAGCCTAAAGAGCATAGATGTAAAATAAGTACCATAGAAAGTATTTCTGAGTCGTCAGTTTTTGATTTTTATTTTAAGTAGGAATATGTGTTGTAACTGGTAAGAAAATTTAAACCTGTATTTTTAATTCCTTTATTTTTAGGATGCCATTGGTGGAGAATCTATGCCCATTCCAACTATTGATACATCACGCAAAAAGGTAATAGATGATTGTTGTAATAGTAAAAACAAGTACAGAAAAGTTATTAAGAAACTAAAACTAAGTCCAAGTATTTAGAAGACTGAGGCAGGAGGATTGATTCAAGTTCAAACTATCCAAAGCTGCCGAGTAAAACCCTGTCTCAATGAAACAACAATTAAAAAAACCTAGGACCAGGAAAGTGTATGATTATGTCCTCGTTCTCAAAGACCAGGAGTGTAGTTGGGTAACGACTGGAGATGACAAATAGTGTACAGTTCTGAATGGACATTCCTCAAGAGTCTAGAAGAAGAAATTAGATTTTAGTCTGCTTTATTTCTCCATGAACAGTTGGTTGTTCAGCACAAGAGTTTTCTTAATAATGCCAAAGATAGCTTTTGTTATATACATTGCTTTCAGAATTTAAGTAACTAGAAATCAAATATGTTAAGCATGGAAAGCTAATGAGCAAGTGTTGGTAAGGAGCTTTGTGTAGATCATGGGAAGCCCTTCTATGAGAGTGCACAGAACAGATGGCCTCTTTTCACCCCTCCAGAGGTAGTGCTTCCCTATCATCAATTCCTACCATGCCGGGACTTTAGGAAGCAAAAGGCATATCCTCATAGGCAATTTCAATTGCGCAATTCCCCACCACAAGACTGCATTCATTACAAAAATATATACTAAATACAATAATGGATGGAAAATATTGGGGTGGGTATTAAAATACAAAAGTGAATTGAATGGCACGATTACATTTTAAGATATTTCAAGTATAGCTAGTGGTACATGCCTTTAACCCCAGCACTCAGGAGGCAGAGACAGGTAGATGTCTGAATTCCTGAAAAGCCAGAGCTACATAGAGAAACCTGTGTCAAAACAAAAACAAGAACCATTAGAGTATAAAGGATAAGTGTGTAGAATAGTATAATGTCTGAAGTTTAGTTATGCTAGATAAATCTTCATTGTCCTATTCTCTAGATATGTATGAATTTACCAATTAATTTACTTAGTTATGGTGCTGAGAGTTAGACTCAGAACCTCATGCCATACAAGTGGTCTACCACTGACCACATCCTTTACATTGACTATTGACAAGTTTTATATTGTTTCTATCACATAATACAAAACTGATTGAGGGACATAACGCTCAGGCACCAGGTCTTCCTGCATAATGCTCATTTTTACTTCACATTCCTAAGATGTTCCTCTTTAGTCACCATGCACTTTATATTGCCCAGTGTCATTGCCCAGTGTTAGGGAGGGTGGAATTCTTTATACATTTCTCAGTGGTGACTGAGTTAACAAAGTCCTCTTCTCCAGAACCCTCCTCACGTTGCTGTCACTTCTACTTTCCCTACTCTGTTTCTCAGTTTTGACTGCTTAAAAAAAAAAAAAAAAACAAGAGTAAAAAAGTACTTAGAATAAATGGGGAAGGAGCTACAAGTACACCTGTGAACATTAGGGTATAGGGCTTGAAAAAAAGTCCAAGAAGAGTTTGAAGGTTGATTTATTAGATGAGCAATTATGGGAGTGTGTGCATGTATTATGTAGTTACACACATTTTTGTCTTTCTTTCAACAGAGACTACCCAGTAAAGAACTGCCAGATTCATCATCTCCAGTTCCAGCAAGCAACATCCGTGTCATCAAAAACTCCATCCGACTGACCCTTAACCGATAATAGCAGTGCCTCTTCACTTAGGTGAACATGCAGTCATACAGTGGCATAGATGACATGACAGTTACCCTTGGAGTGGCATTCTCTCCCTGATTGCCACGTACACTCTGAGGATCACCTGCTAGTAAATGTCACCTACAGTATTATGGCTTTGCATTTTGAGGTTTTACTGCCTTAACTTTTGACGTTTGTTTCTCTGTTATGGTAACCAGTTCTTGGCCACTTGGACTCTGATAAAACAAGTCCTGAACTGTTTTTTGTTTTTTGTTTGTTGTTTTTTTTCTTTTTTTTTTTTTAAGTCTTTTTTTGTAATCACTCTATAGAGCTGAAAAAATTAAAAAAAAAAAAACAAAAAAAAACCTGTCTTGTAATTTTCCAAATGTTTGTGTTTACTTTAGCATTGAAGCCACTTTGTGTAACCCAAGATTAATGAATGTGAGATATCTTTTCTGCTTCCTTCATTTGTGTAGATGTCTATTTTGTTAATTTAAATTATTTTTCCAGATTGGCGCATAAATATTTAAACTATTTTTTGTGCTTTTGTCCAGATGTTGCATAGTTACCCAGGGAGGATTAGTCCAGTGACTACACAAGAGTTGGGCACCATAAATTCTCTGTATTTTGCCTCCCATGGGGGCCTTCAAAATGCATCTTTATTAAAAATCAAACTATAACCAGGATACTGAAAGTCAGTATATGAATGGTGAAAATGTTACATATCTTACTATCTCATGACATTGTTGTTAGCTGATTGGTATTTTTTACAAAGAAAGAATTCATCCTACCATCAATGATAAGATACATAAAGTATGGCAGACTTGTATTTTTGAAGTATAAAATTAACTCAGCATGGTAATCCCTCACCACATCTTCCAACAGTCTCTTCATGGATTAGGCATGCAGAATAAGCAGTGGATTTTATTGAAGCCTCAAGGCATCTTTGAATGACATTGTTACCATTAATTGGCTCAGGACCTTTGTAGTTTTTATTTAACTATATGAGTTGTCTTTTTTTACACTGCTTTTTTCAGTGCATTTCTTAATATTTTTTAAGTTTCATGAATGCATGCTCAGTTTATTAAAAATCCACAACCATGTAATTCTTGTAATCTGTTGACTCCGTGTTTTGTAAATGAAGTCGTATGTATTTTCAGAGTATTTTTGTATGTACTGTAAGATATCATCTTTTCAAAGAGAAACTTGAAAACCTTTACTGTCTGTCTTTAATTTTTTAAGTATACTTAATATATTTAAAATGGAACTCAGAAGCTTAGCCAGGAATGCTGGTACATACCACCTTCTTCATAGGTCCAGAAGGGGGCAGTACATTTGAATAGTGCAGGGGAAATAGCCTGGCTGTGGTTTTCATGACACATGGGAAGCCATATAGTCAGTAGAGAAACAGTCCACTCGAAAATCCTTTACCACCAATTTTAAATCCTTAAGTTGAGACTGTCAGAGTGCTGTATCCTTCCTTTCCCGTTCTGATCCTGAGGTGTCTAAAAGGCAAGTTCGGTGTTGAATGTGTACAATGTACTCTCACCTTCTATATCAAAGGCCAGGAGGAGCAAAGCCATGTTCATAGTTAAACTTTTCCTGAATTTAAATGTTTGGGATTTGTTCTACAAATAGGCAGAATTAAAGGATTATGAAAGGACTGACACCTAACCTTGAATCTAGAAAAATATTTGATGGGGGATTTAATTAAATCATATTCCAAGAAAGAACAAGCCTGGCCCTAGCAGTAATATTTTTTCATAGGCTAAAGGTCCATTCAGCATGGTCAGTGGTTCAGCATCAAGGTTTACACAGAGAGACTTCATCAACTTGTCTGACAGTTGAGGTATTGATTAGATGGGTTTTGATATGGTGGGCTGTTCAAAAGTTAGAGCCTCCTGTCCTGTCTGTCCAGTAGGAGGACGTTTAGTACATTTCATTACCATAGTAATGGGTCTCTGTCAAACTGGTTCCAAGTAAAAAGGTTTGGAAATCAATGTTTGCTTGCTGTCTGTTTACAAGTGTGTAACTATAGCTAGAAATGTATTTTATAAAGCCAAATAACCTTCAGCATCTAGACACATGTTCATTTAGTGACTAGGTCTGGAGACTGACAAAGGAAGACAAGTACCTAGGAGTTTCAACCTTGAGAATTTAACCATTTGAGGAAGAAAGTACTTGGTTTAACACCCTGTGAAACATTTTTAAAGTTTATTGATGCTTAAAATAAGGCTAATTTTGTCTGAAAACAGTCAGTAGTATTAGTAAAATGCCTTACTAATTAGCAATTAGCTGAAAATGGACAGGGTCATGTGGGCCAAGTCTCTTTTACAGCATCCCCAAGATCTCACTTTATAACCCTGGCTGCCCTGAAACCTGCTGTGTAGGTAGACCATGCTGCCTTACAGCTTGGGGTGACCCTCCTTCCTCAGCACTGTACCTGACTGTCCCTTGGTTTTGAACTAGAATTTCTAGCTGGAGTCATGAGTATCTGATAACCCTTGGGAACTGTATAAGATGCTCTTTGTTCATTTTCCTAGTCAGGGGACATTAGCTTTCATTGGTTTCTCAGAGTAGTTCATGCGCCCAGAAAGGAGGCTGGGGATGGGAACCACCAGGATTTACCAGTCCTAGAATGTTTATCATTTACTACATTTGATTTTGCTGCAGTAGATTTCTGAATTCAGTGTGGTTCTTAACTAGTAAAATGGGTGGGTGAGGACCTCAGAAACACTAGGTTTCTATTTTGGGTGAAACTTAATGTGGTTGATATTTAGAAGAATGTTTACCATCAACTTTCCCATGTTATTAAGGTCACTCAGAACACAGTAGCTTTGAATGATGACCCTTAAAGGTGATAGAAAAGTGGAACTCTTGAGTCCTTTGAGTTCTATAGCATGAAAGTTTTCCCTTGCTCCTCCGAGTTTGTTGTTTAGGTCAGAACTCACTAAGCATACCAATGAATACAAGTGCTTTAATTTTTTAAGACATGTATTTTTATAAACAAGTTTGTTTATAAATCCATAACTACCTAATAAATCATACAAAGCTTAGAAATTGTGCAAATGACCGAAGGAAATCAGACTCGAAAATAACTGTTTCCTTAGAATTTTCTAAAGGAATTATATGAGGCCACATTCTTTCCAAGTTCTCTATTTTGGAAATAATCTAATAATTTTATATTTGAAATGAATAGGACACAAAATTTTTAAAGACTTATTTTTATGTGAGTGTGAGCGTGTTAATGTGCACGTGAGTGCAGTGCCCACAGAGCCCAGAAGAGGGCGCCTGAAGACGCACGCGCGCGCGCACACACACACACACACACACACACACACACACCCCGAGGCTGGAGTTACAGGCTGCTGGAAGCTGCCCAAACACCCAAAGAGTATCTTTGATGCCAATGGTGCTATGTCACGCCACAGTATTCTGTAAAGTGCCTGCAGCTGCTGCCCTTTTCTAGATAGCTGTGTGGTACCTGTTAGTTTTGTCCTATTTTATAACTGTACACATCAGCTTCCTTTGTCTGGAATAAGTAATAAACTTACTTTGATAAATGAGTGATGTTTAAGTGACATTATTTGGTAGTATTTCAGAAGGGCAAGAAGACTACATAGTTATTTCTCAAATTGACAGTTTAGTCATTTAAGACTCAGGTTGTTTGAGTAGAAAATGGTGTCTACTAGCTACTTAACAAGAAGGCAAAGCTCAGACTGTTTGCTTCACACACAGTCATTTATTAGCAATACTTATTAGCAAGCCGTAGCACAATTTGCTCTAAATTTAAAGAAGTTCCAGCTTCTTGTCCTTCTGGATGGCTTTGTCCACACTTTCATCAAAGGCTACTTGAGGCACCCATGTCAAGTGTTGAAAGGAAGACGCTGTCATTCTTGTGGTCAACCCTCCCCTGCCCCCAAACCAGAAGTCTCTGGTTGTAAACATGTGTTTAGTCATCAAGCCTTGGCTACCATCCCTAGAAGTACAAGTTATAGGACTTCATATGTTCTTACACCTCTTACACTTAAATGATTCAAACTCATGTAACATTCAGTTCATCTTTTTGTTTACCCTGACAGGATAGTTATGTATGGTGTTTTATCACAGCAATAGAAAACAAACTAAGGCATGGCCTTTATTCAAGATTCTTTCTATAGAGGTAACTGAGATGCAGCCCAATTGATAGAGTATATCCCTAGCATGATCCTCAAGCACTTCATAGAGCGGGCCTGTTGGCACATACCTGCAGTCCTGTCACTAGGGGCTAGAGGCCAGAGGATCAGAAGTTCAAGGCCAGACTGAGCTACATCCTTGCCTCACAGGGTGAAAAGCAACAGCCTTCCTGTAGAGAAAGCTCAGAATGTTGAAGAAGAAAAATACATGCATCTTTGGTTTTTGAGGGAAGCAGAAGTTTAATTTTAATATAGTATGTTGAAGACTTAATGGACCAAGATGCAAGAAAGCAAACAAAATAGACCATTAGCATATGTTTTACAAACTTTAATGGTAACCCTTAGAAGTACGTTTCATATTGTAAGATATATGAATATATCTGCATATAAAATGTATGTGTAAGAATTCTTAAGTTGGGGAAATAGCCTTCCTTACTATTGTAGCAGGTTATTGTGTTTCTTTTTTTTTTTAAAGTCCTAGTTGTGATTTCACTGAGGTATTCTCACACAGGTCTTGAATTGTAACTTACAACTTGAATACACAGCACAAGAGGGCCGCCCAAAAGGTCATCTCAAGCTTGGGTCACTGTTCTTTGTTCTGTAATGTGAAACTGTTCAAAAAACAGTTCCAGAAAAGACATGAATGAAAAAGGAGACCAATCAAAGTACAAAGACAGTCATTTGCCACTAGGGAAAAAAAATCTTTTCATCAATCATCAATAAACATGAAAGCCAATAAGCAACAAAAATCATTAATTGGGACATTTTAAAATTGGTCAGGTGGCATCAATCTTCAGAGTGACCTGAGGTGAACTGAAGGACAGCATATTAAGATTTGCTCAAGTGAGAGGCAAATCCCATTGTACCCACATCTCATACACCCCACCATGGTCCAGAAACTAGATTATAGGGCCCTGGGAAGTATTAATTCTCTAATTATAAAGGTGTCATTACTAAACATTTCCAATGGGTCCTTTACAACACAATCCTTATGACCTTAGGAAGCAGCACTGGGATTTTGCAAGTGAGGAAACAGGTCTGGGGAGACAAGCTGACCATCTCCAAATGCCTAACTACTGAGTAGCAGACTCCAGAAGTGTGAGTCAAAGTCTTGAGCATGCAACTGTATCTTCAAGTTAGGAAAGAAACTAGAGGTGTGCAACAATTCACATCATGTTGGGCTGCTCCACCAGGTCAGGAATTTTTTTACCTGGTCAGCAGCAATGATGGTGTGTTGAGCTAGCCTACTCTGCCACTAAACACTGTGTAATTTGATGCTTAGCCCCCAAATCCAGGTGTGTGTGTGTGTGTGTGTGTGTGTGTGTGTGTGTGTGTGTGTGTGTGTTCTCTCGAATGCGTGTGTTTTCAGCTGGAAACACTTGTCTTTAAAGCCTTGAAGTAGCTATGACATGAAAATATTCCAAAAATATCATCATGCTTCTCCATATCTCTAGAAACAGTTCATCTCCCAGATAACAGCTATGTAGCATTCGTTAGCCACCTCACCAGATGGGAACAGAAAGACAAAGGGATCTGGGAGCACTGTCAGCAATGAGATAGATATGTTTGTTTATTTTTCCATTAAGAATTAAGTTTTGAAGCTGGTAAGGTGGCTCAGTGGGTGAAAGCACTTGCTGTAAAATTGTGAGGGCCTGAGTTCAAATCCCCAAGACCCACATAACACCAGCTGCGGCAGTGCACATCTGTGGTCCCAGTGCACATATCTGAGATGGCTCTAGGTTGCTCTAGGTTACTCAGCTGCACAGTGGAAATAGTGATCCCTATTTTGATGAGAGAGCAATATAAGGAGTTTAGTGGTCTTATAGCCGTTCTGTCTTGGCCTGAATTCAGCTCCCCACTTGCTTGTTTACTATGAAGTATTGTACAAGCTACTTTATCTCTCATGTTTCCATTTTCTCTTCTAAAAATGGTGGTTATGATAAAAGATCCCTCTTCAAAAAGTAGCTCAATGAATTAAAAGAAGCAATCCAAAAGTTCCTGGCACATAGTAGAATTCAACAAATCACTTTGAGGCCACATGAAA